TCGTTATGCTTCAGAAGATTGGCAACTGAAGAGAACTAGGCTTGAGATGGATTAATGATTGTGCATTGAGCATTGACCCCCCCTATACAGAATTTTATTGTGGTTAACAACCATTTGATCAATAAATATGAGAGATGCCCTCTCAAAAAAAAAAAAAAGATGCCATATGTAAAGTTATGAAGATGGTGCCTCACACTTAACAAATGTTTTCTATTACCACCACCATCATCATGAGTGGAACTTTCATTCTTAGAAATGGTGATCTTGGTTGCAAGGCATAGAAATACACTCAGACTGACTTAAACCATGAAAGAACTTTATAGACCCAGAGGGCAGGACTTCTAGCTGAACTTTACAGGAGACTGGAATCTGTACCTGGAAACCCATTAGGACCCAAGGCTCTCACTTTTGTTCCAAGACCACACAGTGTCTAACATTTGTCTCTATGTGTATGTCTGCTCCCTTTGTCTTCCTTCTGCAGGCTGGCTTTCTCTTTATCTCTGTACTTGGCCAACAACTGCCCCAGCCCTAAAGCTGAGTCATTTCTACACTACCAAGCACCAAACTATTAGTCCTTGTCCAAATTCCCAGGATAGAATCTGACTGGCCTAGCTTGGGTCAGGTGAGTATCCTTGGTCCAATCCACTGTGGCCAGTGGGATGGAGTCATGTGATATGATCATGGCTGCAGGAGACCCACTCTAGTGAGTGGGGAGAGAGCTTTCCTTCCCCTGAGCATATTTTCTTTCAGTGTTGTTAACAGAGTATCCTTTTGAGAAAATTGCTATTGTTCTGTAGCCAAATTTGGAATCTCATTCCTGCCTTTATTCTTTTTTCTTCATAATATTTACTACTGTGTGAAGTTATGTTGTGTAATTTGTACATGCTTACTGTCAATCTTACTCTTAAGATACAAGCTTAAGACAAGTAGGATATGTTGTTTTATTCTTGGGTTATAACCACAGCACCTGGCTATTTCTTGACAACATAGTAGGGAGTCAAGTAAAGATATCATGTTAAAAAAAAATGTTTGGGGACCTATCAGTCAGATCAGCTTCTTCAGAAGTGGCAATCATGAAGAGGTCTAACCACCAATTCCAGGTTTCCTTGTATTGCATTCATTGACCATGGGAAATCTTGTCCTTTGGCAAGTTTTGCCATTGTAGTTAGCAGTCTGGTTGCCTGTCATTTGTATTGAATCCAGCTATATGTGAAGGACTGACCTTTAACAAAGTCTGTGAAGTAAAGGGTGGGAACAGATGAAATAATTCAATATAAAGGAATGTTTAATGGGGATGGAAATTTGAAGTCATCTATTCGTCAGTTAATATTTTTGTCTTAATGACAAAATTCCTACCTTCCCAGGTACCCGAGTAATGAGCACTTAGAAAACGAGGGCCCTCCGGGTGATAGCAGCGTCTAAGGAGGGGAAGCTTTTAATCTGTTCAGGAGTGTCTGAGGGCTTCCTGACACAAATGAAGTGTCCTTTGGACTGGGTTTTGAGAGATGAGTAGGAGTTTCCCAGGACCGTGGAGGTTGGAAGGGCACTCTAAGCAGAGGTATGACTCAGACGTTGGGCATGGGAATCAAGGGTAGGAGTTGAGGGCATGGTAGAAGTGGCTGAGAAACCAGGCACAGGGGAAATCCAAATGGCCCTTCTTTGCCAGGCTAACATTATCAGTGTGCAGTCTGATGCAATTAACAAAAAATCCAGATTGAAACCTACTTAAACAAGATTTTGCATTCATGTAACAGAAATTCCAAGGGTAAGGGGCAGGCTCTGGGGTCAGTTAATGAAGCATTCAGTGATGTCAGTGAGGACCCAGGGTCTCTCCCTCTCTGTGCTCCATGGCCCCAGCAACTGCAACAGCCTTGCCTTGGTTGCCCTGCTCACAGTTAGCTGCACTTCTCCCATGTGTCTGGTCGTTCTGCAGCGCTCTCCCTAAAAGCAAGACAGCTGCTTTTCAAGCATTTCCCCCAGCTGACTTCCTATTCTTGACCACCTCGCTACTGCAAAGTAGGAGTGGAGTCCCCTGGATCAGTCAGACCCAGGGCTGGGGTCACGGCCATCTCTTCCCTGTGGTACCTGGCTGGGCTGCAGAGTAGTGGGTGCCTGATAAATTGGGAGTTCATTTAGTGAAGACATGAGTTGGACCTTTATGAGATAGAAGGTGAGGAGACGTGATCAGATTTGTGTGTTTTTGAAGGATCATTCTGGCAGCTCTGCTGAAGAGAGAGTTGAGCAGAACAGACCAGAAGCAGGGAGTGCTGGGAGGAAATGACTGGAAAATGAGGCTTGAAGGAGGGCTCTTGTCATGATAAAGCCATGTTTCCTCCTCGTGGCCTGGCCCGGGTCTGTCTTTCCAGCTGCACTTCACCCACATAACACTTGTTCACTTTTCTGGTCTCTAGCCACATAAGCCTTCCTGAGGCTCACCAATAATAATTTTGAGATATTCAGTGAATTAGATGTGGCCCCTGCCTATGAAAGCTCATAAGCTTCCATGGACAAGTCTCCTTCCTGTCTTTGTAGTGCTCTTCTCTCTGTCTGGAATATTATTCTTCATCCGCTCTTCTCCCCCTTTGCCCAGTCACCTCTTTCTTAGCCTTTAAAACTGAGCTCCATGGTTAGATCTCAGGGAGCCTTTGACTTCCTCCCGGAAGGGTTCTATCCTCTGTTGTTAGTCATCAGCACCCCGTGCTTCTCCATAGCACTCAGTTGGAATTGGCTGTGTAAATAACTGTATGAGCTAGTTCTGTAGTTACTTGTCACTGTCAGATTGTAAAGTCCTTGCGAACAAGGACCTCATCTGTTTGTTTGGTGCTGTATCCTCAGTGCTGAGAGTAGCGCCTGTTCACATAGTAGGCACTCAATACATGTTGAGTGAAAGACCAGCTATACATCTGACTGGGTCAGATGGTAGGGTGGCAGTCAAGCACATAGATGCTCACTTCACCAGTGTCACTGTGTTTAGTTAGGGTACTATTCTGCAGTGTTCCAGGAACTGCACATCATTTGTGGTTACTATTTTCATTGATGAATCACAGGACAAGTGTTTTAACTTAGAAGGCATTCATGCTTGTCATCATGCCCTGGGATCTCCCAACTTTTCCTTCACAGCTGAGCAGAATGTTAGGGTCACAGCTTTTCCCTCCAGGTCAGAGTCCCCTCAGTTCTCGCTCCTTCCACGGTTCCCCCAGTCCTGACTGCAGTAGGATAGCCCAGCCAAGGGAGAGGGGAAGGCCTCTCTATCTTGAGAACCTCTATGGATTGAGTCCATTCAGTCCTGGCTTCAGACATTCATTTTGCAAACACCTGCTGTGTGCCAGGCCCTGCTAGGTCTGGGAGTATGGAGAGAAATAAAACAAGGCCTTTTTCATTGTGGATGTTCAGTCCACAGATGTTTGTCACCCATTTATGAATTGTATGTAAGCCTTTAAAAATTAAAAAAGCAAACAAATGAACAAAAGATAATGCCCTTTCTCAGGTGGGTCACAGAATCATGGGAGGCTGACAATTACAATAATAGAAATGTGGAGATGGTGGTGGAGAGGCAGGCAAAACTATTCAGGGATATGGCAATCTTTGGTTGGGGGAAAGCCAGTTGGGGAATGCTTTCTTAAGAAGGAGTTGTGTTGTTGCTTTTTAATTTTAATTTCATAAAAACAGTAAATAATTTTTTAGTATAAGTATATCCCATGGAAAATTTGGGATATACTTGTGCTAAAATGTTTTTGTTGTTTGTCTGAAATTAAGATTTAAATGGGCTTCCTATATTTTTATTGGCTAAATCTGGCAACCCAGCCCTGAGGTAGTTTGACACAACAGAGAACATGTTCCAGGCTGAGAATATGCAAAGGTACGCAGTGGGGAAAGAAGGAATCAAGGTACAGTTAGCTCCCTTCTGCTGCTGAGAGCTAGGTAGGAATGCCAGAGGATTCTAGTACTACCAATAATTATTTTGGCCTACTAAGTGCCAGAAGTTCAGTGAATTAGATGTGGCCCTTGCATCCATGAAAGCTCATTGTCCAGAAAGGGGAGACAGACCACAGGCCATGCATGACATAAATGTAAAGCAGAGGGGACTTGCGTAGGAAGGCCTCCAGGGCGTGACTGACAACATAGTTCTGTCTAAAGCTAAAGTCTATGCATCCAACCACTAGACCAAACTCCCGGCCCAATTCCTCACTGCCCACTTATGCCTTAACCTTTCAATGTGGTCCCAGACCAGCAGCATCAACACTGTCTGGAGACTAATTAGAAAGAGCTTCTTGGGCCTTATCCCATACCTACCCAATCAGAAACTGTGAATCAAGGCCTGCATTCTGTGTTTTAACAAGGCCTCCAGGTGACTGTACTGCCTACAAGTCAAAATGTTAAATGTGTGTAGGTGCTTAAAATAAGAAATGTAAGCCAGGTATTAGAAACATTTAGGAAGTGATGGCAAAATGGAGAGCCCCCGTCCCCTCTACAGGGAGTAGTCTCTAGTCAGCTCTACACATTTGTTGTAATGAGGGACCCAGATGTTTAGAATATGCAAGAGATGAGCATGTGTTAAAGATATTACTTAACTCATTCATGAAGACCCTGGTGAGATGTTACAACCAGTTCAAAGGAGAATCCAAAGAACAAACATTTATGGATCAGGAATATTGAAATGAAAGTGCAGATGGAAGCTTTGCCACAGGGAGAGGGGTAGTGTGGTCCCAGGACAGAATTCATTTGCTTGCCTCTAGATAAGAATAATTTTCCATTGCTTTCAGTTGTCTATAGTTTACGGAGATGTAAAATAATTCCCAAAGAACCAAAATCAGATAACATAAAGAGTGTGCCAGAGACAATGTATAGTTTCCATTGAAATACAGAATGTCCTCAACCTGAATAATGTTACAGACTGAATGTGTCCTTTTAAAGTTCAAATATTGAAGCTCTAACCCCCACCAATGTGATGGCATTGGGATCTTTGGGAGGTGGGGGCTTTGGGAGGTAATTAGGTTTAGATGCGTCGGGAGGGTGGGCTCTGATGGTGGGATTACAATACACCCCTTATATAAGAGGGAGACCAGAGCTTTCTCTCTCTCCGCGGGTGAGCCCATAGTAAGGAAATAGCCCTCTGCAAACAAGGAGTTGGGGGTTGTCACTGGGAACCCAATCTGCAGCACCTTGATCTTGGACTTCCAGCCTTCAGACCTGCGAGAAATAGACATTTGTTGTTGAGGCCACCCAGCCTGTGGTACTTTGTTATAGGAGCCCAAGTTTAAGAAGACAGATTAACAATTGTCAAAGTTTAGCTTAGAACCTAGCACACAGTGAGCAGATCAGTCACTTGTCATTCAGCAGCAATTAAATAATTTCCATATAGAACGGTGTGCCCATATAGAAGGGTATGCCCGGGCAGTGATCCCTCAGAGGGAAACATCTGTGGCTAGACTTAAATTTATAGAGTTGGGATAACACAGCAAATGCACTTAGGCTGTGTATTTATTTGGATTAGAGATGGGGCCTAATGTCTCATAGCTACCTCTATTGTTTCTATTGCTCATTTAGCCATTTAACAATTATTTACTGGCACTATTATGCCAGATATTATCCTAGGAACTGGGGATATAGCAGTGTACAGAGCAAAGCCCCTGCTTATATTAGGGTAAGACAGGTAGTCGAGAATAGACCAGAATTTGTGCTTCAAACGAAAATTATGCATTGTCTAGACAGCACAACCCTTCCAGTTCTCAGCCTTTCTTTGTCTCCAGAGATGTTTTACAACTCGTAGTTATTTATGTCTGTTTGTGCATCTCTCCCAACGTTTCTTTATTCTGTTGTAAGCCCGGGGAAAGCAAATCCAGGGGCAAAATACCTCTAAAAACTGAAATCAGTCAAAGGGAGAAATAAAGTTTAAAACGCATTTATTGCTTACAAACTGCAGCCTGGTACCTTCTCTCCTGGTCCTTCCCCTCACCTCTCAGGTACAGATAAGCCATTCGTTGCCTAGGTAATTACCCATTGATACGGAGATGAACTTCTCTCCACCCCTGAGGAATGATGCAAATGAACTAAAGCCGTACTTGTTTTCACCTCTGAACGCCTATTGATATGCAGATATACTAAAGCCAGGCGAGATATTCTGTAAATACTGCAATTTTACCCACACCTGTATAAATTTGACCTTTTAAAAACATCTGCTTTGTTCTGTCATTAAAGAGTTAAAATATTCAACACGTGTTCATTTCAGTGTATGAGAATCATGATTTCTTGGGGGAAAATTATCATGATTTCTTGGGGGAAAAGTAAATATCTAGTACGTAAATGGTGTAATGTGTTATGGAGAAAATAGTATGGAGGTACGTGGAGCGTGTCATTTTAGAGAAACGATGGGGGAGACCATAAAATGCTAAAAAATTTTTCGTTGTTTATCTGAAATTCAAATTTAACTGGGCGTCCTGCATTTTATTTGGCAAGCCTACTTCTGAAGAACGGGAAGGCGCAGGCCTTGCAAGTTTGGTTGATGTGCTTTCGACCAGGGCGCTGGTCTGTAAGATCTAGACGTGGGGTTTTCGCGGGGTGTGGCGGGGTCTGCAGGCAATGCCCCCCGCCCAGGGCGGTGCGGAGGCGGGGCCACGGGGCGGGACAGCTCCGCCCTGTCACGTGCCCGTCACGTCTGCATCCCGGAGCGCGCCGGGCAGCAGCTGCGGCTGGAGGACGAGCCCATGGCGGCGGCGATGACGACCGCAGTGACTGCGGGGGCGGGGGCGGGGGTGGCGGGGGCCGAGGCGGCCGAAGGGCCCCTGGGGGCGGCAGCGGCGCTGGAGCTGTGGCTCAGTGAGTAGCAGGGCCGCCCCTGGGCGCGGGCCCAGCGCCGCACGTGAAGCCTGGCTTCCCGCCTCCCTGGGCCTTTCTTCTGAGGCCGGCGGGCAAGCAGGTGGCCGTGGGGGCGGCGCCCGGGGAAGAGCTAGGCCCGACGCGGGTGGGAGGATCGCCCCCGGGAGGATTCCGGAATCCGTTGGGGCTGCGGGCAGAGCGTGGGTTCCCTGCTCCCCCACTCCCCTACCTCCACTCCCTAGTAGCATTAACCTAACGGCTAACGTTTGTCGAGCTTTTCTTTTGTGTCAGGCACTGTGCTAGAACCGTTGCAGCTGTTAAGAAACAGCTTCTGTTAACCCCGTTTTAGAGCTGTGGACATTTAGACTTGAGGCTCGGTCGTGCAACATAGGTAGCCTCTTGCGGTCTCTGCATTTGGGGAAGATCTCTCTCTTGGCTACTGTCTTTAATATCGAAACAAGCTTTCCGACCTTAAATGCATGTTTATCCTGGCCGTATTTCTTACGTGTTATTGTCTCCCGTAAGCTTCACGACGGTCTTGGGGGTAGTGATTGTTTTTGTCCCTGTGTTACCAATGAGGACTTGAGACTCAAGAGGATATATGCTTCTCGCATTGAGCTATGCCGGGTACTGGGAGTACTAACATGCGTAACACAAAATCCTTGCGCACAGACATTTTTTAGGGGGAACAAACGGACAATAACAGCACCTTGTTACAGTTAACGTCAGTTGGGCAGGGGGGCGCATTTAATATGTAGTAGTGATACAGGGGCCGTTGATGTAGTCAGAGTAGGGTGAGGGCCTCCGGAAAAAGCAAAGCAAGATACTTGGCAGTCAGAGCAATGTAACTACATGCAAGGAAACCTCCCCCACACTAAAACTTTTACGTTGAACATTAAGCTCTAGAATTCTTCAGTGAGATCAGTTAATGTTCCCCAGATAAGAGTAGCACATGTTTTATTATGCTAATCATTTGTAAGCATGTGTAAGATTCACTTTAGCATACTAAAAGGCCCAGGCCTCTGTGCTGTCTTTCCTCCTTAGGATCTGACTAAGTGATTTGCAAACTGAGCAACTAATTTAGCATGCAGATCCAGCTGTAGAGGACAAGGGAAAAAGGCAGGAAGAATTCCTTCTTAAAGATAAGATTGCATTTTAATACCCAGGAAGTTCCAGAGGCAGGATTCTTTAGCAAATAGACAATACCTTAGCCCACCTTGGGGGCTGAGCAGGAAGCCTTTTGATATGCTCCCAAACCGAGACACCGGTATCCCAGAGAGAAATCAAGGCAGGAAATTCCTTAAGTTAATTTTTAATACTCAGGGACCACTTAACAAAGCCACACCCCTAAGCTTTTTTCCACTTCCCAGATATCCTCAACTGCCTATAAAACCCCTAGACAACGCACCACCACGGATTCTCTTGTCCCCTCCTGGCGTGAGTCGGGAGCTCTGTGCATTCACTTTATCTCTAAATAAAAGCCTGTCCCTTGCTCTCCTACCTTGAGTGTTTGTGAAGCTCATTCTTTGGCTTGGTGAACAAGAACCCTGGCATCAGTAGGAGTTGATTTGTTTACCTGGGGAGTGTCACGGCGGACATGGCATTTGAGTGGACAGTGTAGGTGACATTTCAGGCAAAGAAATCTGCAAGTGCAAAAAAGCTGGGAAATGGGAGAGTGTGGAGCATTTTGGGAACAGGTAGATTGGTAGTCTGGGGTGCAAAGCCTCGAGAGCAAGGAGTCTGGAAAACAGGCTCCAGGTCTTGCTGGGCAAGATCTTCAAGGGGTTTGTCTGCTGCAGGAAGGTGTTTATATTTCATCCCGTGATTGAAGGATCGGGAGGGGTGGAGTTTTCAACCAAAGAATTTGATAGTACACCTGTTGAAAGCATTACCTGCAGCCACTTGAGGCTGAGTTGGTAGGGAGGTGAGATCAGGCAGGCAGAGTAGATATTCGGTAGTGCTTAGAGGTTGGATAACAAAGGCTGTGATGTAGAATGGAGGGTAAGAGGAGGAGTCCAAGATGGATCCCAGGTTTCAGGCTGGGTAACTGGTTGGTTGGAGATGCATCACCTGTCTTAGCAACAGATAGTTGAATTGTGGAGTTTAAGGTGCTTGTGGCAGTCAAAAAAGAGGTGCTCTTTAGGCAATTGGCTAGCTCCAGAGTGGGTAAGAGCTGGAGGTCAGAGTGGGCGTCTTCATTTCACTGGCCATGAGCTTGCCCAGGCAGGTGGGGTATCTTAGGAAAAGCAGAGGTTTGCAGATGCAATACAGAGAACCTTGACATTAAAGAAGCAGATGGGAAAAGAGGCCTGACAATGGGGAAAAGACTGAGCAAACACAGGCAGGGGGAGAGCCGGGAGGATGGGGAGCCATAGATCTCAGAGAAGGGGTATAGTTGGAAGGTAGTTTTGCTGCTGAAATATGGAGTACGATGAGGAAGGAGAAGGGGAACTTTGAAGTGGGCAGCTAAAGGTTATTAATGAAATATCTCTGAGTTAAATGGTGGGGACAGAAAGTTGATTAGCAGGCAATGGAGAACAGTAGGCTTAGACTGGAGATGCAAAAAAAGTCAAGTGGGCTGGGTTAGAGGACATCTAGCAGCCGACTGAGTGGAGAAGATAAGAGGAACTGTGGCTGCTCAGGTTTGGGGTTTTTCAGCGCCAGCTGTAGACCATGTGGTCCCAGCTTCTAGATATTCCAGTTTTTCAGGTAGGGCTAGAACCTGTGTTTTTATGTGAAATCTCTTAAGTTTTTAAACATGGGCAGCTACTCTGAACTATAAAGTTTGTCTGTACAGGCCAGTTAATCTGTGGGGAGGGATAACATAGCCCCTGGCTACCAGCTTTCTTTTTAATTGAGTGTGATCTTCAAAGGAGAGGGGCCCTGTGAGCCCCTCTTTCACGCTGGTGTTTCTTTGGGGAACTAACTATCCCCCCTTCATTCTAGGTCCAGTGTTGAAGCCACTGGAGAGAGGCTTAACGCTGCTGGTGGAGGTCACAGCGGGAACAGAAAGGGGTGACTTGGCTTTGCAGAGAGGAAGGGCACCTTTGGTTTTTCTGAAAGTCTGGGAAGGAGGTACAGAAAATTGCACATGTAAATAAGTTTGTCACTATTACCACCCCCCATCAAGTATTCAGGGCTGAGGGGTATAGGGCTTAGAGGTAGGAAAGTTTGGGAATGGCTGGTAAGAGAAACGAGAGCCCACCTGGACACTTGAGAAACGCTGATATTTTGAACTCAGTAGTTCTGTGTTGCAGGGATCTGTCCTGTGCATTATGTTTAGTAGAATCCCTGCCTCAACCCAGTAAACACCAATAGCAGATGCTGTTCCCAGTCATGATGACCTAAATGTCTCCAGGCCTTGTGAGATGGCCCCTGGGGAGAGGGACAGGATCACCTCTCTGCCAGCCACCTGAGATCTTCTGAGTTTGGACTTAGGAGTGTTGATTGGACATCAGAAATGTCTTTTATTTAACCTTTGTGGTTGTGTGATTCCCTGCTGCGTAGGAACAGAGAAGGTGAACTGTGGTTTAAACCAGATTTGCAGGGAGGTAGGAGGTGGGGCACAATGGAGGAGATAACAATGGAAGGACAGGAGGGTAGAGAGTTTGACGTTTAGCAAGGACAGGAGTGTAGTTGAAGGAATGCACGGTGAGCGGAGGCTGAATGGGGTAGGGTCTGAGGACTGCCAAGCTCAGGTCATTGAGATCTTGCCTCATCAAAGGGTGGCTCTGTCTCTATGATGCATATAGTACTACTCCCTCCCTCTTAGGGTGTGAGGATCAAAGGAATAAATAGATGCAAAGCCCTTAAAATAGTGCCTGGCACAGTGTTAGCTGTAATTGTCATTAGTCTTTTTAGTTGCCAGTTGCAGGAAACACTCCTATTGGCTTACCAGAAAAACAGGAAAAACATTGATCCTAGAACCAAGAGGGGTAGTTCCCCAAGGAACAGCTCAGAAGCTCATGCTTTAAAAATACACATAGCAGCTTCTGTACATTCTGCTGCTTCCCCTTCCCCCTAGTTTATTTTGGTCATTGTTCACATGACTGCATATATGGCTGCTCATGTGTCCCTTGGTACAGATGTCCTCTAACCAGTTCCCTGTTAGTGGGTACTTCAGGGTGTTGCTAGTCATGTGCTATTAGAAGCATTGGGTCCTCTCAGTCTCTGAGATTCTAGCTTTGGTAGTGCTGTCACGGAGGCAGTAGCTATGGCAGGTGCTGAGTAAATTCCTTTCTTCCTTCCCCCTGGACCTACATGCAGGTGATCTGTCCTGTCTTCCAGCCACACTTTATGCCTCCTTTGGTGGTTGGGAGCAGTCTTGATTGCAATCTATTTATATCCTGAGCTTCTGAGGGCTGAGCTCATTCTTTACTTGGAGCCTAGGATAGGACATTCCTGTGGTGGGTCTTGGGCTTTTAGCACATTCTTAATTGAATGACTGCTGGATTATGAGGGTCGTATCTCCTGTAGACAGATACCCCTGTGCAGTGAATGCTACTGAAGGATTGAATTCTAAGTGTTCCTCGAGGTGACTGCTTCCCCACAGACTCAGGGCTCTGGTTACCAGAACAGGCTGCTCCTAGCACCAGAGCCATGACCCTGGGTGGATGGTTGGCAGCTGGTGTGAGATGATTTGGCTTCTGAATTAGTCACTTAGAGAGGAGCCTTTTCACCCACAGCTGGAGGTCTCAGCTGTTTTAATACCGCTCATCCTGTAGCAGGCTTGAAGTGCACATAAATGTTCATTTTATTAAGCAAATATATAGCAGTCCTGTTACATGTCCTACCCAAGTGCCAGCTAAATAAACCACTTTAATGCCTGTGACAGCCATTCCTAGTGCCCTGACGGAGCTGGGATGGTCATGAGAAGGCAGAGAAGGGGTTCTTTGAGTTTTCCCCTGGCCCTGCCCTGGTCTGGTCACTAGCCACTCCTTAGGGAAGATTGGAGTCTGGTTACTGTGGTCTGGTTGAGCCCAGCTGCCGGTCCTCGAGAGCTCTGAGGGCCTCTGAAATAGTTGGCAGGCTGGGATTATGTGTTCAGGGAAGAATAACCTTCTGGAGTCAGGAGCATGTCCAGTCAATTGGCCAAACTGCAAAGCAAAAGATGAATCATTCGTTCATTCCTACAGTGGGTCTTGGGCCTTTTTATCAGTGCCAAGGACTATTCTAGGTGCTAGAGCATGTGAGGGTGAACAAGAAAGACCTTCCTGCCTTAGGCAGCTGGTATCTGAGTGGCAATAAAGTCAAAGAAACTATTTCTAGAAGAAGCCCTGTCTTTGTCAAGTAGCTGAAATGATTGGGCCCTGGAGTCAGGCAGACCTGGGGCTGAAGTTTTGTGCTTGTCATTTTCTAGCTTTGTGGTTGGGAAGGTTTCTTCACTTGTGAATTGACAAGGTAATAATAGTACCAGCCTCAGCCCCTCTGAGACATGAAGGGAGGGGATGCTTGGAGGAAGCACTCAGCATGGTGTCTGGCCCATAATAACTTCATTAAATTAAAAAAAGAGGTAACTAATACTACTATTGCTGTTATTTTGGGGCCATAATAAACCTTGAGTGAATCCTCATGATACAGTAAAATTCCTTACACTTTATAGATCTTGCTGCTTTGCCTTGGTTAAGAGCTGAACATGACTCAACCTCATAGAGGTTTTTTCTTCATTCCTTGGAAAGGCTGGTGCTTGGTGGCAGGAGAGGAGGGTGAGCGCTGGATTCTGCCCTCAGGGTTAGCTGGAGCCTGCCTCTAGGTCCCCTTGTGTCTAGGTGTCACCCTTGACCTGGAAGTGAACTGAAACTTCATGAAACTTAAATAATGTAGACTTATTTTCCATGAGTCAGACTTCCTTAATTCGAATCTCTAAGAATTGCTGCTTTAAATAATTTGTTTCACGAGTGATAATTTTTTTATTATGGGAAAGGCAGTGTAGTAAGCGCTGTAGGGAATATATGGCTTTTGCCTTCTAGAGATTTATTCTTTAAGGTGTAATAAGGCATGCATGTGTATTTTTAAAGTAGAAAGTAGATGGTGTTATAATAAACAGTAAGATTAGCTATCCTTTATTGATTACTTAATATTTGCTGTTGTATGGAGAATTCTAAGCACTATCTCCTTTAAATCGCATGACTATCCCCCGAGGAAGGTATTGTTTTCCTTATTTTATGGCTAAGGAAACTGAAGCTCTGGGAGCCCAACAACTTATAATGAGGAGCTAGAGGTCTCCATCATAAAAGAAGCAGGTAGAATATAGGCCTTCTGAGAAGGAAGAGATGGCTTCTGTTGTGTGGACATGGGGGTCTTTATGAAGAAGTGGCATTTGAATTGGGATTTGAAGGGTGGATAGGATGCTGAGAAATGGAACATAGGGCAAGAACCTTGAGGAGGAAAAAGGTGAGGGATATATTGGAATTGATAATCAGAATCCTTTGCTTTGTCATCTTTTTTTCACTGAGAATGGATTTGGTGGGTGGAAAGATGGGTGATTACCTATCCTTTGCCTCTCACTGAGTTGAGGAGGCACATGACTTCCATGTGACATAAATGTGACTGCAGTCAGGAAGGTTAAACTAGCTGACTGTGGAATCTAAGTAATCAGGAGGGAGGAAAACTCGGAGGTGCTGGAGCAGTGGGAGGAGGTTTTTGGGAAGAGATAGATATTCAGAAGGGCCCTAAAGAATAGATAGGATTTTGAGAGGATGAGAGTGGACATTGAGGCAAGAGGAATAATACCAAAATATGACCCTGAGAATTAGCTTATTTGCAGAGTTTGAAAGAGCTGCTTTGTCAGGACCAGAAAGATGTCTCAGTGGAGAGATGTGGGTAGGCTGGGATGGGCTGGACAGTGGGGAGTAGGGAAGGTGTTTCAAAAGGGCAAGACACAGAGTCTCAGCAACACCTTTGTGAGAGAGTGGCCTGGTTCAGGCTGGGGGTGGAGTGGGCATCCTTATTGGGGACTGGACAGGGATTGTAGGCATCAGGGATTGTGGAAAGAGGGGAAGAAGCCACTCCCATCTAGCACCAGGAAAATAGCCCCTTGTCCCAGGAAGGTAAAGGTTGCCCCTCCCCTCAGGGAGCTAGGGCTCAGGCCTTCTGAAAATCTCCCTTTCTCCAGGTATCTCCTGTCCCTGGCTGTGCCCTGATGCCCTTTGGTGCTAAGTGACTTCAGATTTCATCCAGATAGGACTATTCCAGTGGGGGAGACCCTAGCATGATTGGATCCGAGTTCCCTGGGAATGTATAAGGTAAAGAGAGGACCAGGATTTGGAGGACTGGAGGACAGCGTTTTGAGGAGGTGCTTTTGTCAGACTGCACAAACTGCGGACACATGGAGGAACTGTTTGCAAAGGATGGTCAGAGGATTTCACTAACTGAGGCTTATATTGAGAGGTGTTGCTTTTGAGGACATGGTGGATGACCAAGTAGAGGCACCTAGAGCCTATAGTATGTTCTAGTCTTCCTGTCACGTGGCTAAGACACTTATATGCCTGTTCTCATTGCCTGGCCACAGTGGGAAAGTCTTGATCAGGGGCATGAAGAAGGAGCACATAGGCTGACCCCTGCTCTGGAAATGGGGTCCCTCTCAGGACAATAGCTTGTTGACTAATTTGCCCATTCAGTCAGTCAGCAAATATGTGTTTAGGCATATTGTATGCCAGACGCTGCAGCACAGGCAGGGAGGGTCCTGTCCCTTTCAGCTCTGCCCACTGGGTCTGAGCCCCTGGGTGTGTGATGTCACAGTCCTTGGCTGTCATATGTTTTGGAGTAGGGAGAGGTGTATGTTTCTTTTGTTATGCCATCTTTCATTTTAGTTTTATTTTCTTGACAGATAAAGCCACAGACCCAAGCATGTTGGAACAGGATTGGTCAGCTATCCAGAATTTCTGTGACCAGGTGAACACTGATCCCAATGGGTAAGGTGACCTTCACATATGTGCTTTACTCTGGGGATGCCTCAGACTAAGTGTGTGCTTTTGGCTCGTGGGCCTGTTTTTCACTGCTAGGCTTTCTTTTCTTTTTTTTTTTTTAAATCTCCACAATCTACTGAGAACATTATTTTTCTAGAGATAGCAAATTCATGTATTTTTTTTTAAACAGCATAGTTTGCAACTAGACATTACTTTAAAAAATTCGAAATAGTGTTATAAAACACTAATGATGAGGAGGCCTGACCTTACAGATAGAATGTAGCTAGGTTACGTAGCAGTGTGAAAGAGATCAACGTGTTTGCCATAATTTAAATGTAATCATTAAGAAAGAGGTATGTTCTTGTTGAATTATGTTTCCAGAGCATCTGGGTAGGAACCAAAGAATCAAGTCAGTCATTCATATGTTTAAATTGCATGTTGCTGAATATTCAGCCTTTGAAACGAGCAAAGAGTCGGATCACACCTCCTCCTCCATTGTTTGCTGAGCATTTATCATATGACAAGGTGTGCACTGCTCAGGACCTGTTTACACATAGGTCTGGGCCGTGACTGCTTAGCTTGGAGTTGTCGGGGTGGATTGGCTGTGGGGGGGCTGGGGGATGACCTTAGTAAGATGACAGGGGGAGGACCTCGGTTGCTGCAGCTGTCCAAAGGCTGGGTGGGAGCATCCTGCAGAGGCTTCGCATGGGCTGTGTGCCAGTCACTCTCCACTTCTGCTTGGGGACCTGAGCTCCTGGAGGAGAGGTGACTTTACTGAGCATACTATGCCCAGACGGTAAGTTTTTTCCACCCAGCATGAAGGTCTTTTTGTTTGCCTGTAGCCCAACCCAAGCACCCTGGCTCCTGGCCCACAAGATCCAGTCTCCACAGGAGAAAGAAGCTCTTTATGCCTTAACGGTGAGTTCAGCGTGCCGCTTAGCCTAAGTGCTCCTGTGCTGACACTAGAGAGTGCTGGCCCCTTGTCCCATTTCAGTGTGCTGGAGAGCCCCTGGGAGGTTCATCTTGATCAGCCTTGGGAGTTGAGGCTGAGTTGGTAGGGAGGTGAGATCAGGCAGGCAGAGTAGATATTCGGTAGTGCTTAGAGGTTGGATAACAAAGGCTGTGATGTAGAATGGAGGGTAAGAGGAGGAGTCCAAGATGGATCCCAGGTTTCAGGCTGGGTAACTGGTTGGTTGGAGATGCATCACCTGTCTTAGAAACAGATAGTTGAATTGTGGAGTTTAAGGTGCTTGTGGCAGTCAAAAAAGAGGTGCTCTTTAGGCAATTGGCTAGCTCCAGAGTGGGTAAGAGCTGGAGGTCAGAGTGGGCGTCTTCATTTCACTGGCCATGAGCTTGCCCAGGCAGGTGGGGTATCTTAGGAAAAGCAGAGGTTTGCAGATGCAATACAGAGAACCTTGACATTAAAGAAGCAGATGGGAAAAGAGGCCTGACAATGGGGAAAAGACTGAGCAAACACAGGCAGGGGGAGAGCCGGGAGGATGGGGAGCCATAGATCTCAGAGAAGGGGTATAGTTGGAAGGTAGTTTTGCTGCTGAAATATGGAGTACGATGAGGAAGGAGAAGGGGAACTTTGAAGTGGGCAGCTAAAGGTTATTAATGAAATATCTCTGAGTTAAATGGTGGGGACAGAAAGTTGATTAGCAGGCAATGGAGAACAGTAGGCTTAGACTGGAGATGCAAAAAAAGTCAAGTGGGCTGGGTTAGAGGACATCTAGCAGCCGACTGAGTGGAGAAGATAAGAGGAACTGTGGCTGCTCAGGTTTGGGGTTTTTCAGCGCCAGCTGTAGACCATGTGGTCCCAGCTTCTAGATATTCCAGTTTTTCAGGTAGGGCTAGAACCTGTGTTTTTATGTGAAATCTCTTAAGTTTTTAAACATGGGCAGCTACTCTGAACTATAAAGTTTGTCTGTACAGGCCAGTTAATCTGTGGGGAGGGATAACATAGCCCCTGGCTACCAGCTTTCTTTTTAATTGAGTGTGATCTTCAAAGGAGAGGGGCCCTGTGAGCCCCTCTTTCACGCTGGTGTTTCTTTGGGGAACTAACTATCCCCCCTTCATTCTAGGTCCAGTGTTGAAGCCACTGGAGAGAGGCTTAACGCTGCTGGTGGAGGTCACAGCGGGAACAGAAAGGGGTGACTTGGCTTTGCAGAGAGGAAGGGCACCTTTGGTTTTTCTGAAAGTCTGGGAAGGAGGTACAGAAAATTGCACATGTAAATAAGTTTGTCACTATTACCACCCCCCATCAAGTATTCAGGGCTGAGGGGTATAGGGCTTAGAGGTAGGAAAGTTTGGGAATGGCTGGTAAGAGAAACGAGAGCCCACCTGGACACTTGAGAAACGCTGATATTTTGAACTCAGTAGTTCTGTGTTGCAGGGATCTGTCCTGTGCATTATGTTTAGTAGAATCCCTGCCTCAACCCAGTAAACACCAATAGCAGATGCTGTTCCCAGTCATGATGACCTAAATGTCTCCAGGCCTTGTGAGATGGCCCCTGGGGAGAGGGACAGGATCACCTCTCTGCCAGCCACCTGAGATCTTCTGAGTTTGGACTTAGGAGTGTTGATTGGACATCAGAAATGTCTTTTATTTAACCTTTGTGGTTGTGTGATTCCCTGCTGCGTAGGAACAGAGAAGGTGAACTGTGGTTTAAACCAGATTTGCAGGGAGGTAGGAGGTGGGGCACAATGGAGGAGATAACAATGGAAGGACAGGAGGGTAGAGAGTTTGACGTTTAGCAAGGACAGGAGTGTAGTTGAAGGAATGCACGGTGAGCGGAGGCTGAATGGGGTAGGGTCTGAGGACTGCCAAGCTCAGGTCATTGAGATCTTGCCTCATCAAAGGGTGGCTCTGTCTCTATGATGCATATAGTACTACTCCCTCCCTCTTAGGGTGTGAGGATCAAAGGAATAAATAGATGCAAAGCCCTTAAAATAGTGCCTGGCACAGTGTTAGCTGTAATTGTCATTAGTCTTTTTAGTTGCCAGTTGCAGGAAACACTCCTATTGGCTTACCAGAAAAACAGGAAAAACATTGATCCTAGAACCAAGAGGGGTAGTTCCCCAAGGAACAGCTCAGAAGCTCATGCTTTAAAAATACACATAGCAGCTTCTGTACATTCTGCTGCTTCCCCTTCCCCCTAGTTTATTTTGGTCATTGTTCACATGACTGCATATATGGCTGCTCATGTGTCCCTTGGTACAGATGTCCTCTAACCAGTTCCCTGTTAGTGGGTACTTCAGGGTGTTGCTAGTCATGTGCTATTAGAAGCATTGGGTCCTCTCAGTCTCTGAGATTCTAGCTTTGGTAGTGCTGTCACGGAGGCAGTAGCTATGGCAGGTGCTGAGTAAATTCCTTTCTTCCTTCCCCCTGGACCTACATGCAGGTGATCTGTCCTGTCTTCCAGCCACACTTTATGCCTCCTTTGGTGGTTGGGAGCAGTCTTGATTGCAATCTATTTATATCCTGAGCTTCTGAGGGCTGAGCTCATTCTTTACTTGGAGCCTAGGATAGGACATTCCTGTGGTGGGTCTTGGGCTTTTAGCACATTCTTAATTGAATGACTGCTGGATTATGAGGGTCGTATCTCCTGTAGACAGATACCCCTGTGCAGTGAATGCTACTGAAGGATTGAATTCTAAGTGTTCCTCGAGGTGACTGCTTCCCCACAGACTCAGGGCTCTGGTTACCAGAACAGGCTGCTCCTAGCACCAGAGCCATGACCCTGGGTGGATGGTTGGCAGCTGGTGTGAGATGATTTGGCTTCTGAATTAGTCACTTAGAGAGGAGCCTTTTCACCCACAGCTGGAGGTCTCAGCTGTTTTAATACCGCTCATCCTGTAGCAGGCTTGAAGTGCACATAAATGTTCATTTTATTAAGCAAATATATAGCAGTCCTGTTACATGTCCTACCCAAGTGCCAGCTAAATAAACCACTTTAATGCCTGTGACAGCCATTCCTAGTGCCCTGACGGAGCTGGGATGGTCATGAGAAGGCAGAGAAGGGGTTCTTTGAGTTTTCCCCTGGCCCTGCCCTGGTCTGGTCACTAGCCACTCCTTAGGGAAGATTGGAGTCTGGTTACTGTGGTCTGGTTGAGCCCAGCTGCCGGTCCTCGAGAGCTCTGAGGGCCTCTGAAATAGTTGGCAGGCTGGGATTATGTGTTCAGGGAAGAATAACCTTCTGGAGTCAGGAGCATGTCCAGTCAATTGGCCAAACTGCAAAGCAAAAGATGAATCATTCGTTCATTCCTACAGTGGGTCTTGGGCCTTTTTATCAGTGCCAAGGACTATTCTAGGTGCTAGAGCATGTGAGGGTGAACAAGAAAGACCTTCCTGCCTTAGGCAGCTGGTATCTGAGTGGCAATAAAGTCAAAGAAACTATTTCTAGAAGAAGCCCTGTCTTTGTCAAGTAGCTGAAATGATTGGGCCCTGGAGTCAGGCAGACCTGGGGCTGAAGTTTTGTGCTTGTCATTTTCTAGCTTTGTGGTTGGGAAGGTTTCTTCACTTGTGAATTGACAAGGTAATAATAGTACCAGCCTCAGCCCCTCTGAGACATGAAGGGAGGGGATGCTTGGAGGAAGCACTCAGCATGGTGTCTGGCCCATAATAACTTCATTAAATTAAAAAAAGAGGTAACTAATACTACTATTGCTGTTATTTTGGGGCCATAATAAACCTTGAGTGAATCCTCATGATACAGTAAAATTCCTTACACTTTATAGATCTTGCTGCTTTGCCTTGGTTAAGAGCTGAACATGACTCAACCTCATAGAGGTTTTTTCTTCATTCCTTGGAAAGGCTGGTGCTTGGTGGCAGGAGAGGAGGGTGAGCGCTGGATTCTGCCCTCAGGGTTAGCTGGAGCCTGCCTCTAGGTCCCCTTGTGTCTAGGTGTCACCCTTGACCTGGAAGTGAACTGAAACTTCATGAAACTTAAATAATGTAGACTTATTTTCCATGAGTCAGACTTCCTTAATTCGAATCTCTAAGAATTGCTGCTTTAAATAATTTGTTTCACGAGTGATAATTTTTTTATTATGGGAAAGGCAGTGTAGTAAGCGCTGTAGGGAATATATGGCTTTTGCCTTCTAGAGATTTATTCTTTAAGGTGTAATAAGGCATGCATGTGTATTTTTAAAGTAGAAAGTAGATGGTGTTATAATAAACAGTAAGATTAGCTATCCTTTATTGATTACTTAATATTTGCTGTTGTATGGAGAATTCTAAGCACTATCTCCTTTAAATCGCATGACTATCCCCCGAGGAAGGTATTGTTTTCCTTATTTTATGGCTAAGGAAACTGAAGCTCTGGGAGCCCAACAACTTATAATGAGGAGCTAGAGGTCTCCATCATAAAAGAAGCAGGTAGAATATAGGCCTTCTGAGAAGGAAGAGATGGCTTCTGTTGTGTGGACATGGGGGTCTTTATGAAGAAGTGGCATTTGAATTGGGATTTGAAGGGTGGATAGGATGCTGAGAAATGGAACATAGGGCAAGAACCTTGAGGAGGAAAAAGGTGAGGGATATATTGGAATTGATAATCAGAATCCTTTGCTTTGTCATCTTTTTTTCACTGAGAATGGATTTGGTGGGTGGAAAGATGGGTGATTACCTATCCTTTGCCTCTCACTGAGTTGAGGAGGCACATGACTTCCATGTGACATAAATGTGACTGCAGTCAGGAAGGTTAAACTAGCTGACTGTGGAATCTAAGTAATCAGGAGGGAGGAAAACTCGGAGGTGCTGGAGCAGTGGGAGGAGGTTTTTGGGAAGAGATAGATATTCAGAAGGGCCCTAAAGAATAGATAGGATTTTGAGAGGATGAGAGTGGACATTGAGGCAAGAGGAATAATACCAAAATATGACCCTGAGAATTAGCTTATTTGCAGAGTTTGAAAGAGCTGCTTTGTCAGGACCAGAAAGATGTCTCAGTGGAGAGATGTGGGTAGGCTGGGATGGGCTGGACAGTGGGGAGTAGGGAAGGTGTTTCAAAAGGGCAAGACACAGAGTCTCAGCAACACCTTTGTGAGAGAGTGGCCTGGTTCAGGCTGGGGGTGGAGTGGGCATCCTTATTGGGGACTGGACAGGGATTGTAGGCATCAGGGATTGTGGAAAGAGGGGAAGAAGCCACTCCCATCTAGCACCAGGAAAATAGCCCCTTGTCCCAGGAAGGTAAAGGTTGCCCCTCCCCTCAGGGAGCTAGGGCTCAGGCCTTCTGAAAATCTCCCTTTCTCCAGGTATCTCCTGTCCCTGGCTGTGCCCTGATGCCCTTTGGTGCTAAGTGACTTCAGATTTCATCCAGATAGGACTATTCCAGTGGGGGAGACCCTAGCATGATTGGATCCGAGTTCCCTGGGAATGTATAAGGTAAAGAGAGGACCAGGATTTGGAGGACTGGAGGACAGCGTTTTGAGGAGGTGCTTTTGTCAGACTGCACAAACTGCGGACACATGGAGGAACTGTTTGCAAAGGATGGTCAGAGGATTTCACTAACTGAGGCTTATATTGAGAGGTGTTGCTTTTGAGGACATGGTGGATGACCAAGTAGAGGCACCTAGAGCCTATAGTATGTTCTAGTCTTCCTGTCACGTGGCTAAGACACTTATATGCCTGTTCTCATTGCCTGGCCACAGTGGGAAAGTCTTGATCAGGGGCATGAAGAAGGAGCACATAGGCTGACCCCTGCTCTGGAAATGGGGTCCCTCTCAGGACAATAGCTTGTTGACTAATTTGCCCATTCAGTCAGTCAGCAAATATGTGTTTAGGCATATTGTATGCCAGACGCTGCAGCACAGGCAGGGAGGGTCCTGTCCCTTTCAGCTCTGCCCACTGGGTCTGAGCCCCTGGGTGTGTGATGTCACAGTCCTTGGCTGTCATATGTTTTGGAGTAGGGAGAGGTGTATGTTTCTTTTGTTATGCCATCTTTCATTTTAGTTTTATTTTCTTGACAGATAAAGCCACAGACCCAAGCATGTTGGAACAGGATTGGTCAGCTATCCAGAATTTCTGTGACCAGGTGAACACTGATCCCAATGGGTAAGGTGACCTTCACATATGTGCTTTACTCTGGGGATGCCTCAGACTAAGTGTGTGCTTTTGGCTCGTGGGCCTGTTTTTCACTGCTAGGCTTTCTTTTCTTTTTTTTTTTTTAAATCTCCACAATCTACTGAGAACATTATTTTTCTAGAGATAGCAAATTCATGTATTTTTTTTTAAACAGCATAGTTTGCAACTAGACATTACTTTAAAAAATTCGAAATAGTGTTATAAAACACTAATGATGAGGAGGCCTGACCTTACAGATAGAATGTAGCTAGGTTACGTAGCAGTGTGAAAGAGATCAACGTGTTTGCCATAATTTAAATGTAATCATTAAGAAAGAGGTATGTTCTTGTTGAATTATGTTTCCAGAGCATCTGGGTAGGAACCAAAGAATCAAGTCAGTCATTCATATGTTTAAATTGCATGTTGCTGAATATTCAGCCTTTGAAACGAGCAAAGAGTCGGATCACACCTCCTCCTCCATTGTTTGCTGAGCATTTATCATATGACAAGGTGTGCACTGCTCAGGACCTGTTTACACATAGGTCTGGGCCCTGACTGCTTAGCTTGGAGTTGTCGGGGTGGATTGGCTGTGGGGGGGCTGGGGGATGACCTTAGTAAGATGACAGGGGGAGGACCTCGGTTGCTGCAGCTGTCCAAAGGCTGGGTGGGAGCATCCTGCAGAGGCTTCGCATGGGCTGTGTGCCAGTCACTCTCCACTTCTGCTTGGGGACCTGAGCTCCTGGAGGAGAGGTGACTTTACTGAGCATACTATGCCCAGACGGTAAGTTTTTTCCACCCAGCATGAAGGTCTTTTTGTTTGCCTGTAGCCCAACCCAAGCACCCTGGCTCCTGGCCCACAAGATCCAGTCTCCACAGGAGAAAGAAGCTCTTTATGCCTTAACGGTGAGTTCAGCGTGCCGCTTAGCCTAAGTGCTCCTGTGCTGACACTAGAGAGTGCTGGCCCCTTGTCCCATTTCAGTGTGCTGGAGAGCCCCTGGGAGGTTCATCTTGATCAGCCTTGGGAGAGCAGGCTGCAGGGAGTTCTGGGCTCAGATTGCCCCATCCTAGATCTGTTGCTAGGGAGCAGCAGTTGGGAGAAGGAGAGGAAGGTTACTTTTTTAATTTTATTTTTATTTATTTTTTTATTTTGGTATCATTAATCTGCAATTACATGAGGAACATTATTTTTTCTAGGCGCTCCCCTTCACCTCCCCACAATCCCCATTATAGTCACTGTCCATCAGCGTAGTAAGATGATGTAGAATCACTACTTGTCTTCTCTGTGTTGCACAGCCCTCCCCAGAGGAAGGTTTTATGTCCTTTATCTTCATTAGGTCAGGGCTGACCTGTAACAAATCAGTGAGTGGCTGGGTGAGGACCGACAACCTGGAAAGCGAATGCCTCAGAGGGCAGCTGTGGAAAGAAAAGTGGGCAGGCCCAGCTTGTCATTTGAGTGCCAGCACATAACCTCTGGTTTAACAGTTCCTTGGCATTATGTATCATATTTCTACCTCTGAAGAGGAATTGCTTGTCTGACCAGTTCCACCTGCCCATAGGGTCTCCTTGAAAGGTAGGGTGATCTCAGGGTACACACTCCCACTGAACTATTTTCCTCAGCACAGTGATAGCAAGGTCAAAGAGGTGGCATTTTTTTCTTAATCTGAAAAATCTCATTCTTTCTGCAAAACTTCAGTGTCCTTATAGTTGTGAAGAAACCCTAGGGTGGTTCCATCCAGCCAATGCTCATCAGATCTGAGATGAGTGCTGGAGCCAGTGGTTTTCCCTTCTCATGGGGGTCCTGTGTCTGGGCAGGTGCTTGAGATGTGTGTGAACCACTGTGGAGAGAAGTTCCACAACGAGGTGGCCAAGTTCCGCTTCCTGAATGAGCTGATCAAAGTATTGTCCCCCAAGGTGAGTTCCCTGGGTCTGGCCCTGTTACTGTACTGCACCGGTCCCCAGCCTGCAAACTCCTGTTGCCCTCCTGGGTGGAGGCGGGCCTGCTTATGACAGAACGTGCAGCGCGCCTCAGGTTTGTGAGAGAGCAGAGGTGGAAGTCCTGCATGGGAAAGCTTTCCTCTCCAAGGTCTAGGGTAGGGTCATGCTCAACAGCTGATTGCTGCCAATTAATTTGTTAGCATTTTCAAATTCTCCCTTTAAAAATGGCCGTGGGTGTGGGTGGCCTCAAGGGGTGTGGAACTGTAGCTTGTAGAACAGGTTTCCTTGTAAAGGTCAAGAGACAACAAATGTGGCTTTTAAGTTTTATATCACTTCTTGCCTATTCCTTGGCACCTTTCCACCTGGCACTTAGCTTAGTAACAACATTCTCAGGCAACTGACATTGACAGAAGCTTCCTTTGCTGCTTCCCAATAATTCCTTGATACCAACTGTGTCTTACAACTTAATTTAGTTCTGACACTGACTACCCAAAGTCAGTACAGACCCTCCGCTTGAAGGGCTTACTTCTACCTAGACTACGCCTACTTAAGACACCAGCCAGCAGTCTCAGGTATCCCCACGCTACCTGCTCTTCTGCCTGACCAGCTGCGCATACACAGGTTCCCGTTACCCCTTCCACCAGAGTTCATAATTCACTAGAGAGACTCAGAGAGCACAGGAAAACGTTCTGCTTACTATTTATCATAAAGGATATAAATGAAAGAGATACATTGACCAGGTCTTTGGGGGGAAGTAGAACAGAGCTTTCACACAGTCTCCTTGTGGAACCCAGATATACAGCCCTCCCAGCACATTCAAGTGGTCAATCAGGAAGCTCTCTGAACCTCATTTCAGAGTTTTTATCTGGAGTTTTGTAAGATTAAATCATTGGTCATGTGGTTGACCTCTGTCCTCCCTCTGAGGGGTTGAGCAGGGGCTGAAAATTACAACCATCTAATCATGTGCTGGGACTTCCTGGAGTGGTCAGGTCCTCCCTTGTACTAACAGCCCACCTTGAGCAGTTAGCATCAACTCAGGGGTGGCCCAAGGGGGCTTGTTGTGAATAGCAAGAGATATTCAATCAGGAATTTCCAAGGGTTTTTGAAACTGCCAAGAACTGGGGACAAAGACCAATATATTCTTTAATTATAACAAACTTATCCCAGTCAAATGAGTGTCCCCAGTGGCTCCAACCTAGGCCAATATAGAGGGTTTTTAATTTTAGGAGTTTTGGAGGTTGACTCCTTGAAACCCAGAAGGAGCCCAGGGACTGTGGGTGCCAGATAATTTGGCCTCTAGCTGTGCCTCCCCTCAGCCAGCCTTGGGCAGCTCACCTCTCTTTTGTGGTATTGTGGGCTGGGTGGTCTTTTAAGTCCCTTCCAGCTCTATATAATTCTCTTTTCTTTTTATTTTCAGTACCTAGGATCCTGGACCACAGAAAAGGTTAAAGGAAGAATCATTGAAATACTCTTTAGTTGGACGGTCTGGTTTCCAGAAGACATCAAGATCCGAGATGCTTATCAGATGCTGAAGAAACAGGGTCTGATTTCCATTTCTTAGGTTCCTTTTTCACAGTAGCTGTTCCTTCTTGCCTGTATGCTTTGTAGTTTTTTGGTGAAAGCTGGGCATCTTGCATCAGACAATCTAGACTAGGACAGATATTTTTAATCCCTGGAAAGGAGCAGACCTTTCCTTCTGGTAGGCAGGAATTGAGTGGGGTTTGAGATTGTTGTTGCTAGTCACCCTTGCTGTTCAGGTTTCACATTCCTTTAATGTTAGCTTATGTTTTGGGTGGGGACTGATTCATTAGAGTTTCCACTGCCTTCCTAACAGTAGACATTATTATTATTATTATTATTTACTCAATGCTGGTTAGCCTGAGGGCGGGGGAGTGGCCTTCTGTGTTCTAAGCCTCAGTCTCAGGTAGATACTGTGTCCCTGGGTTTCCTTAGGACCTATTCATGATTCTACCCCACCCGGATGTAAGTCTGGGCCTGAGACATCTTCCTGGCCTCCCCCAGGGGCACTTTTCTGTACCTTTTCTCTAGCTACAGTAGGTTGTCACTGCTGCTCTAAGGACTCCAGGAATTGTTGTCTTCCCCCAGTAGTTTAAGGCCTTTGTTCTGGAGATGGGGGGAGGATTTAGATAGGACTTCATGCCTTTCCCATCCATTCTCTCAGTGTGATCGCCTGGTGAGGCCTTAAGAGAAGAGCCTCTCCCTCTTGTGTTGGGACTCCAGAGGTTCTGTGTTCTCTTGCTAGTTTGTGCTGACCTGTAAGCAATTTTAAAAAATTTTTAGCTGAATTATTCATATTGGTGTTGTCTCCCATCTCTCCTTGGAGGCATTGTCTGGATTTCTGTTTTTTTATTGCCCTGTGATCTCAGCTTTCTGACAGATTGAAGGAAAGTGGTGAATGTGTAGGTCGTGCAGGGCTGTTGTCGTCAGGGCTGGGGTGCTGCAGTTCGTGCCTTTCTGTGTCCTGTGTGGAAGGTGGTAGCCCTATTCTTTTCCTCATGGACTCTGTAGAATAAGGAACCTGGATTCAGGATGGACTGTTTTTCCCTGTCAGTGCACTCAGGATATTTAGGAGTGTCAGGAATTATACAGTAATAATTATTCTGGGCCCTGGGAGGTTGATGAGTATTTTTATAGCAGAAGGCCCACAGACTAGCCTTTGGGTCGGTTCTGCTCTTAGTTGGCCCTGATGTTCCCGTCTTTGTGCTGGTTCCTTGGATTCTCCCAAGGGTGGCAGGGGAGGGATGCAGAGCCTTGATCATACTCTGGGTGGATCCCTTTAAGGCAGTTGACAATATTTTCCTAGTGGGACATCAGGAACCAGGGGTTCCTGGACTTTATACTGGATCCTGCTGAAGTCAGTGGATAACCACATCAGTACCTTCATGAATTGCATGTCTTAGGAATCATAAAGCAAGACCCTAAACTACCAGTGGATAAAATCTTGCCCCCACCTTCTCCCTGGCCCAAGAGCTCGATCTTTGATGCTGATGAAGAAAAGTCAAAGGTAAGGAGCATCTCCCTGACCTCATGGCCTACCTGGAATCTGATCTGACCCCTCATAGAGATCTCCTGAAATGTGCCTTAGAACGTCCTTCGTTCCCTGAACTGGAGTGTGGGAGGATGTGGGCAGGTGGTTTAGTGTGTTCTCTCTGGAGCAGGTTCTGTTGAGTGAGGGAGCATAAGGTCAGGGTGTTTTCTTCATTGACGGGCCAAGTAATAAATGCCATGGTTTGGTACCCTCTACCTTATCTGCAGAAGTGCTCCCAAGGGGAGAAAGGTACAGAAGGACAACCAAGTTGGTAATGTGGATGGTCGGTCATACCCAGAGTATGTGTGGTATTGGGAGAGGGTGGTGGAAAGGAAAGAATGGGTTGTATGTCGGCTCAGGTCTTTCTTCTTAGTGCCAGGGAGCCTGATCTCCCACATTTCCTTCCACTATTGCCTCTCAGAATTGTTGCTCCTCAGACATTAGTCAAGAGAGGGAAGGGAGATGGAGGCCAGTTACAGCCCAGGCTGAGAGCCCCAGGGATCACTCTAGAGCCTCTGGAGCGGGAGGGCCCCAAGGACAAATGTGGCAGTGCCTTGGTTCTTACTGCTCTCAGCCGCTCACGTGGTCTGGTCAATGTAGGAGCGGGAGTGCTCCAGCTGTGTGTGCACCTCTCTCTAGTACGCTCTGCCTTCGACTGCACCTCGCAGCAACCTGTCCCTTGAATCTGGATGCTTGGTGGCCATGGGGTCCCTGTAGGCACAGCGAGCAGGGCTACACCAGATTCTGGGTTGCCTTTCTGGATCCGCTCCTCCTGGTGCCTTACGGCTGCAGCTAGCAAGGAGGGATGGCATGGACTTTTGGGGAAGATGGAATCCTGTGTCACCTTGGCAAGCTACTTATGCTCTCTGGGACTCAGGGTACCCATCTTCTCTGCCAGGCATCCAACAAAGACCATGTGATTCCTGTGTGCTAGGCACTGGGAATTCGGTGAACAAGATTAGCAACATCTGTCACATCACAGAGTACGTGGTCCAGGACAACCCCAGCACTATGGACAGTTTGGGCCAGATAATTTTCTTGCCAGGACCTGTCCTGTGCACTGTAGGATGTTTATAGTACCCTTGGCCTCTGCCCATTAGATGTCAGTAACATGTGATGACCAACATGATTTTGCCAGATGTCCCCTGGGGTAGATATTTCTCCAACTCCCCACGCCACTGAAAACCAGTGGCATGTGGGAGTGGCCATAACATCTACATTGTCATGAGGGTTTGGTAAGGTAATGCATGGCAAAATGTGGGAGCTGCTAGTAAGTGTTAATTCTTCTGCTGACATTAGACACAGAGGAAATGAGTCTCACTTACCCTCTTGTTTACTCTTCAGCTTCTGACAAGGCTTCTAAAGAGCAACCACCCTGAGGATCTTCAGGCTGCAAACCGGCTGATAAAGAATTTGGTCAAGGAGGTGGGCATTTTTCTAGTGGTTTCTGCGGAACCAACATTCGCTAGGGAGGGGACAGTGTGTATGTGTATGTGCTTGTGAGTGTTGATACACAGTTTGCTGGGAGGAGGGCTGGCCTCCTGGTTTAGCAACTGGGGAACAGTGTGGGTTCCCCGAAGGGCAGCAAGATGGAGACTGGAAGCAGAAACCACTCTGTGTGCCTCCCCAGGACTTCTCTGCCCAGGAGCTCAAAGCTTTTCATGGACACCAGTTGCTGTCCTTGGGGCAGGACTGGTTCAGGTTGGGAATCTGTTTTTCAGAGGGATTTTAAGGCTAGTGCTGCAAAGGAGTAGATCAACAGGTCCCAAAATTGTGGTTTCCCCAGGACTGCTGGGCTTCAGGTACTGTCCTCACTACTGAGTGAGAACTCCTGGCGCTCTCTAAGGGCCTTCCCCGAGCTCTCTGCAGCGTGGGGCCCCTTTCCCATCCCTTGTTCAGGCTTGATCTAGGGAATCTGCTCCTCAGTGTTATCCTCTCCTTTCTCCCAAAAGGAACAAGAAAAATCAGAGAAGGTGTCCAAGAGAGTCAGTGCTGTGGAGGAAGTACGGAGCCATGTGGAGGTGCTACAGGAAATGCTGGCCATGTACCGCAGACCAGGCCAGGCCCCGCCAGACCAGGAGGCCTTGCAGGTACTCCTCAAAAAAAACAAAAAATTCAGGCATCACTGAATATGACTGACATGCTAAAAATTGCACATATTTACAGCACATTTGATAGGTTTTGGCATGTACTTGTCTATGAAACCATCATCACCCACAAGATCGTAGATATGTGTCCCTCACCCCCCAGAATTTCAAGTCCCTTGGTCATCCCTTCCGCCCTTTCCTCCCTTCTTCCTATCTCCAAGGAGCCACTGACTTGCTCTCTGCTCTGATGATTTTATATTTCCTAGACTTCTGTATGAATGGAATAATACAATATGTACCCCCTTCCTTTTTTTGGTCTAACTTCTCCCCCATCGTGTAATTATTTGAAATCCATTCACCTTGTGTCTATCATTCCTTTTTACTGCTGAGTGGTATTCTCTTATAAGGTACCACTGTATTCATCTGTTGATGGATATTTGGATTGTTTCCAGCTTTGGGTGGTTATGAATTAAGCTGCTATAAAACAGTTGGGTATAGGACTTTGTGTGCACAGATGTCTACCTTTCTTGGGTATTACCTAGGTGTGGGATTGCTGTCATACACAAAGTGTATAGTGAACTTTTTAAAAAAATTTTGTTATCATTAATCTACAATTACATGAAGAACATCATGTTTACTAGGGTCCCCCCTTCACTAAGTCCCCCCCCAGACCCCTATTACAGTCACTGTCCATCAGCATAGTAAGATGCTGTAGAATCACTACTTGTCTTCTCTGTGTTGCACAGCCCTCCCCATTCCTCCATCCCATGACATTATACATAGTAATCGTAATACCTCCTTCCATCTTCCCCGCCCTCATCCCTCCCTTCCCTCCCATTCTCCCCAGTTCCTTTCCCTTTGGTAACTGTTAGTCCATTCTTGGGTTCTGTGATTCTGCTGCTGTTTTGTTCCTTCAGTTTTTCTTTGTTCTTATACTCCACATATTAGTGAAATCATGTGGTATTTGTCTTTCTCCGCTTGGCTTATTTCACTGAGCATAATACCCTCTAGCTCCATCCATGTTGTTGCAAATGGTAGGATGT